TAACTCAAAACGAATATCTGAGCGTAAAAATAGCCTTCAGAGTGGATATAGCTATCACATTCAGACATAAATTTGACGAAATCTGGGACCTGTGTCAAGTGTCATTACTCTTCTCTACAATGGTTTCAAAAACAGCCACTTCTCATTCATTTCAGTGCATTATGACTCTTACAATATGCATTTTGAACAAAAGGTCTTTCGCGTAGATGTTTAGTCTGAAAACACAACGTTAGAGTAAAAAGATCTTTATAGTAATACTGGAAAAATCGACGAATATATGTTGGTCAACCCTTTCTGAGCCTCATGCATGAATACTATGGTTTGTTGGCTGCGTATTTTGATTAAAACAAATGAAGTGTATTTCTTTTTTACGGTATTTATTAGAACTTTTGAACTGTATTCATAAACTTATTTATTCTAAACAAGAAAGGGTGTTTACGGTAAGCTATTACTTTTTTCTGGCGATCACAAAGTATAAATACTAAATTCAGTAGGAAAGTTTAGCAAGTCGTTGCAATTTTTACTATTTGTACAGTCAGTGAATTAATCATTGCCTCTAAATAGTGAAATTTTACAGGTATTTTCATTTGTTGATTTAACCGAAAATCTCTTCTTCTCCTTCAAATGTGGAAAGCTCTAAGCTTTCTGTAAATATAACAAAGACAATTTACTTTACACGACTTAAAATTGATTCTAATAGTACAGCGAGATTGATAAACCCGTCTTTAGTCCACATACTTATATGACTTCCAAACAATAGATAAAATCAAAATCTTTCATTTACATCATAAACTGTTAACCACTTATTTTCTTGCTGCTTTTTTTATGTAAATGTTCTAATATTCGATGTAGTTTTAAAATTCATATACTTTACATACATACATAAAGATACAGCTGCATGTTATGCGTAGTTATATCTTTACACTTACTGGCCAATTAAATGAAAAGTAGTTCTATCCTTTCCAAGACGTAATTATTTTTTAGAGATGGATCAGGAGCTAAATTCTTTCTTACTTTGCTCTTTTATAAAAGCTCTGTTTCGTTTAGTCACGTTTAAAACATATAGAAAAGATATTCTACCAAACTTTAATACATAATAGTATATTAAGTCTGATATTTATATTACTGTCTTCATACATTATTTTAAGAAATTTGATAGAGGTCCAGCAACAGAAATATGACAAGCGTAAATTACCTGAAAATCTACCTAATATATCTCTCAATCTGGAAGCAGAAAAATTAAATGTGGCAAGAGTAAAAAGTAACGATGAATTCTAACTCCTGTTTTTGTTTAAGGCGGTGCACTCAGTTGTGTCGTTTGAAGAGAAAGGTTGCCCCGGGAGGACTTTTAGAGAGAAGTGGATCGTATCCACTTACACATAGAGAAAACCCCGACCACGCGGCCAGCACGTTCGCCTGCATTCTAGCCGGGTCGAGCTACCAGCATTCAGCGACTTAACCGTTTGGCCGCTAGAGGGATCGAAGACAGGTACTGAATTCAGTGGAAACAGCAGTCACTCTTTTCTTGCCGTACTAAACGACCACATGCAGATCCGGCGAAATTTGCTTTTCTTTCACACGTTGTGGTAGGAGCGAAGGCAATCCCTTATCCTTATAAAATACTGCTTCAACGTCTAAAACCTCTATCACATTATGTTTCCGCTACCGGGACTGGACTTCGAAAGGGACTATTCTCAGAATCCGCACATTTCTAGGAAACCCACGTAGATAGGTTAGCATTTTCACTTACTACAAAGACTTGAAAGCCAAACAGTAATCGATTGTCGCTTAAACTGGTATCACGTAATCCTTCAGAAGTAGGAATTTCGTCTGATTGGTCTTGATCTACGCGGGACAGAGCTGCAGCCGGAACGTTGTTTCCGTAGCTAGGCGGGACTTGGCTTCAAGCGCAGCTGTTTTTTCTAGGAATCCTCCCGTTTAAATCAGTGCTACCAGAATCTCGTTTATCAAAAAAGTCCCGTCTAGCAGAGACCGTCGCTAGATGTGATAACCTCTTAACGCAGTTCACTCGACAGCATGCATGCTCTTAGAAAAGGTTGTAAAAGAGAAGACATAGCAACGCATAACTCACTTTAATTTTTCTGGTTCTGTTGTTGTTGTTTACGCTCACTTGCCCAAGCCCACAAAATTCCTCGCGACAAGGAGAGCAAGATTACGCCTGCCGCAGGCAACAACCTTGAGTACCTTTCAGGTGACAGTGCGATTTAGCTCAGTTCCGCCCCCAATTATGATGAAGAGCACCCTGGGGAGACGGGTCCGAATGTCTCCCACCCCTATCCTCCCTTTCCCACCAAACCACACGAGAGGACTTTCGGCTCGCCGCATATTTAGAATGACCCCATGCCGCACCGACACTATACATTTACAGACATCCATGCCTTCTTCGGGATTGGAGCCCGGGTCCTTCGGCACGGTAGTCAGCGACACTAAACACTATACCAGTTGGGCGGCTTATGGTTCTAAAACTGATGATTTAATACTTAGACAAAAAGTAATTATGATTTTACTCCGCAACTGCATTAAAAAATTAATTGTTTTTCTTCCAGAGTTTTAAATTTATTGGCACACGCCGTATGCATCGCGTGCATTAAAGCGATGGCTCTAGTTTCAGTGACGTCAGCAGCGCAAAATTTGAACAAGGCACAGTGAAATATGAAAAGTAAACCTAAAGGAGAGCTACCGTGGAAAATACATTTGTATCGAGATATTTCAGTTTCTTACTGCATCCAAATACCGGTTTAGAAAATGATGAGTAAACTCCGAGTGTCTGAAAATAACTTGCAATATGACATAGTGCGAACAATTAGCTTCCAAGAATTGCAAAACATTTATGAAAAATTTCCAAAAGAATACTTTTCCACAAAACTAATTAACATGGAGTGCATCAAAAGTAATACTTTATTATCAACTATATCGTATTGGATTTTATTATTTATTACTTGAAGATCGTGATTAGTTAGATGGTTTCTTTAGGACAATTTTGGTGATTTCATAGTGCAAGTGTATGCTTCCACACATGGATGCTATTCTCTTTCTAATTTTTTTTTTTGGAGGGGGGGTTTCTCTTTTTAAATTTGGGAATTTTTTCGGTGGCGTTAATTTGAAATGATACAAGAAAATGATTATTACCTCAGAAACTTAAAAGAAATCATGTTTCGTCTATTCGCTTGAATTTTAGAATTAGGAAATACGTATTCATCGTAAAGTGCCTGAATAAATGATTTGAAATTGCTGATATCATGCACAAATTATTCTGTTTCTTTTGAACTTATTAGACATCTATCAGCTACCAAGAAAGCAATAAAATTTGAAATTACACAAGGAAAAAATCTATAAGGAAAATCATTGTTCGAAAGCTTTCATTAGCATTCATTTGCTTTAGAAATATAACAAGACAGACTTTGATAATGCAAGAAGTCTTACAAAACCTTTAAGCACAGTTTACTACTGAAAATCGCAAAGTATTATTTGTCAATATTATCTACATGCGATTGTACTGTTTTACTCAGTGCCAGTGACTGTCTCTTCAGCTGAAAAATCATTCGGCAGAGTGGGAAACTTATTGATGGTTTGGTTTATTTGATTACAGCAAAGCATACTAGAGTTAATTGCCTAAGGAAAGTGATGCCTTCGTGGAGGACTTTCTAAGGGAAACTAGCTCGTATCCACGTTACGCATAAGGAAAATCACGAAAAGCTTATGCAGCCAGCCGGTTCGCTTGAAATCGAGCTACCAGCGGTAAACAACTTTACTGCTCGGCTGCTGGTGGGTGGGATATCCATTGACAACTTGACAAACATGCACAACTAATCAAGACAGGCTTAATGATCTAGAAATTTTGTGCATGAAGGAAATCGAAAGTGATTTAGTTCGGCAAGTTGACGTCAAAAGGTAGAAAATATACTTTTTTTTAAAATGATTTTTGATGTTTTCGTTAAATTTTTATTATTGTAATCCATATGTATATTTTATAAATATAAACATTGCTTATTTCTCATCATTTTATTGTAAAACATACGTACGGTACTTCGTCAAATCATGAAAATAAAAAATTGTGAAACTTCATAAAAAATAATTTAATTAAATCTTACATATTTCATCCCTCACCAATGCAAGGACGTTAATATAATACGTACGTGAATGCTGATAATACAATTATTGTAGCTGTGTGATAAAAATAATCTGAAGCAATTAATATCATTAGATACTTAAAATTCACTGCCCGTTCAGCATTGAATCATCAACCAAACATTGTGTCATTAAAAGCCTATTAAATACGATAAAACAAATATCAAGAAAAGTTTAAATCTATAATAAATTTAAACAAAATCTCATTATTAAGTATAAACTAATTATATAGGAAATCCGAGATTATTGTTTAATTTTACTCAGGCACAAAAACTGAAATGGAGATATATTTAATATTTCCATTTCTATTTTTGAGCCTTAATGAGACCAGTTTTTGCATCACTTTTCTCCCAACGCAACTATGTATTCAAATTTAATTTAAAATAATTTGAAGCATTAAATGTAAATCAGATAGATCCTTGAGCAACAAGAGCTTTTAGAATGATAAAAAAAATTAAAGATTTTTGTAGTTATTACTTAAAAATAATTGTTTCAAATTATTTCAATTATCAGGTTTCATTTCTTCCTTATTCTGGTTAACTGCTTCTTGTAGTAATTGCATTTTCATGCCTTTTGTTAAATACTTTTCCAAAACTTTAGAAGAGATGTTTATCATAAATACGGAACGCATTTAACTGTGGCATCGACACTGATATGAATTCAGAATCTCACTCTCGCTGCAGAGAAAAATTTAAGCACTCGATAATCCTGCTGCTACTTCAGACCAGATGACTGGCATTTTGATTCGGAAAAGTCAGGATCATAAAACCAAAGATATTAATATGCATAACAGCATATAAGTGAATAAAAAACATAAAAATCTATCACTTCAAAAAGGAACATCAGCATACCTGGAGATAAGAGTTTGCTTAGTATTCTTTTCCCATTTCAAGATGAAAGGATCTTGGAGCTGCTCTTTAGTGAAGAGTTGAAAACATTCCAGTATGATAGTGATTCACATGTCTCAACACAAAACTTCTAGCCGTTTTGAATGAAGATGATGATAGTTTTGAATGAGCAAGATGGGAAAGAAATAGTTGTGAAGGTCATCCTGTAGTTGTTCGTCGTCATTGTTGAAAGTACACAAAGATGTGAACAAGATTTATCACTCTTTGTAGCCGCGAAATATTCTTTTTATAGCTTTACGGCAGCAGAAAATTTTCTTCTCTTAAGAAATCAGTTTATTGTTTTTGGTGGATTTTGTAAACTGCTCCCAAGGCTCATATCATAGAAAACATAGAACAGATCTAAAATGGTTTTTTCCATATACTGCCTTGAAGCAGTGACGCACCGCTCCTGATGACTAAAACATTCAGTGATTTGCCGTTAAGATCAATAGGTTTTGATAAAGTCAAAGGTGAACATTTTGTAATTACGTCATAAATATAAGTATTATAAATGTATATATTTCCTTTTCCTACAGCATTTCAGAGTCCTAAGTATATTAAAGGATACAATTTTAAACAACATTTCAGTCTGAACAGAATCAAATGCTATGCTTTTCCCAGAACAATTTAAATTTGAATGAAATGTTTTCACAAGTTTTCGCTCATTGCATTAGAAAGAAATTTTAAGGAAATTCAATTTTATTTGGCTAACGATTAGGAAAATTAAAATCAAAGTTTATTGTATTATTAATATAAAAATCACGCATTACTTCTTTTCAATTTACAGAGCTTCTTTCTGAAATATTTTCTCAAATATGAGATGATTTTAAGCTTCTGAGGCAACTTTCAAACCAAAAATCATAGTCACTATAATTAATGTTCTGTTCAGTTCATTTCAAATTAGAGCGTCTTTTATTTTAATAGTAAAATACGTTTAATATTGCTCCTGATTTCTTTCTGATTTCTATGTGCTTAATTTTCTTTGAATATTTAATATTACTTAAAACTTTTAACTGAAATATTATAAAATGTACGGCAGTAATTCTTTTAATACTTATAATTTTTTTTACCCTTGATTTCAACAATACACATTTTAAAAATTCTACACTTTACTACTTCCACAAGTACTCATCTCATAGACTGTGCTTTACAATACCTTTTAATACATTCTTTTCTAGTACGAACAGTTCTTGCTTAAATAGTTTTATAAACATATTTGTCCACAGAATTTCAATTTTATGTTTACAATTAAATGTTAAGGTCATTATATATTTACGTAATATTTATAATTATTATAAATTTAGATATAATGACTAGGTTTCTTCATAGTGATATTCACAGGAGCTTCCGAAGGAATAAATCCTTCATTTCCGAATACATTTACAAATAATTTAATATATAATTACGTATTTAGTCGATGCGTGCTTTTTACAAGGATAATCATAAATATTCATATATATTTCATGTTTTTCATTTTCGGGATATGCAAACCTTTAATTTCTGTGCATTCACTATTTTCGAGTAAAGTAGCTTATAGCAGAACATATACAATGAACATAAACTACCATAAGGTTATTAGATTTATTTCACTCTAAAATAATGTAAATGATATCATTTTTAAGTACTGATTTTCTTTCAGTTTATTAAAAAGGACAATACAGTTAGCATTTTAAATTATTTCCCGAATTTATTCCTACAGAGTGAAGTACGTTCTATTGTACTGAATTAATTAATAATTGAATTTAAATCTGAATGTGTAGAATATACTGATGCAAAAAAAAAAAAAAAAATATTTAGAATGAAGTTTATGTAATGTTATACAAATTTATGACCAGATTCAGAACCCAATAAACATTCTTTTGCACTTTTATTAATTATATTACGATGTATTATCTGAAAATCAACAAAAGAGTTAAGTAATATTGCTTTTATATGCTACAACAATATTTTAAAAATAAAAATCATATTAAAAGCTTATGCTGTTAATGACTGACTGATCTTATCATAGCCAGATTACCGAACAAGCGCGGTGTATCTGGCTCGTTCAATTTTTGCCACTTAGGCGCATCACGTGAGTCTGTCTGAACGTGGAATCCCAGTGGGAGAGAGGAGCTATTATGCTGTTAATTGGCCTCCAGTGGAGCGGTGCATCGTGACACCTGTGTACCTAGGCTGAAAGCTTTACCCCATGTACAACAATTTGAGTGAGTTACGAAAAGATAATAAGTAGTAACCTTAAAATAAGTATACCGGGTGATCAAAAAGTCAGTATAAATTTGAAAACTTAATAAATCACGGAATAATGTAGATAAAGAGGTAAAAATTGACACACATACTTAGAATGACATGGGGTTTTGTTAGAAAAGCAATAATTAGCACAACAAATTATGACAAAGCAAAGATGATGTTCATTACAGGAAATGCTCAATATGTTCACCATCATTCCTCAACAATAGCTGTAGTCGAGGAATAATGTTGTGAACAGCACTGTAAAGCATGTCCGGAGTTATGGTGAGGCATTGGCGTCGGATGTTGTCTTTCAGCATCCCTAGAGATGTTGGTCGATCACGATTCACTTGAGACTTCAGGTAACCACAAAGCCAATAATAGCACGGACTGAGGTCTGGGGACCTGGGATGCCAAGCATGACGAAAGTGGCGGCTGAGCACACGATCATCACCAAACGACGCGCGCAAGAGATCTTTCACGCGTCTAGCAATATGGGGTGGAGCGCCATCCTGCATAAAAATCGTACGTTCCAGCAGGTGTTTATCAGCCAGGCTGGGGACGATGCGATTCTGTAACATATCGGCGTACCTCTCACTCGTCACGGTAGCAGTTACAAAACCAGAATTACGCATTTCCTCGAAGAGAAAAGGCCCGATAACAGTACATTTTTTAAACTTTTTTTTTTTTTTTGTTTGTTCTAATAAAACCCCATGTCATTCTAAGTATGTGTGTCAATTTTTACCTCTATCTACATTATTCCGCGATTTATTAAGTTTTCAAATTTATACTGACTTTTTGATCACCCGGTATAATAAGAGAGATTACTTTTTTTTTAAATTTAAAATAATTTTAAAAGTTTTAAATTAATTCTAATAACAAGGTATGAAAGAAGTTAGTAAAATCTGGGAGCAAATGTGGCTAAAGTATTAAGGCATGGATATAATCTGGGAGCCGTGGCGCATGGTTTTTTACGAGGCATAGACCTACGGAATATCCATTTTTTTAATGGAGATTTGGCCAATGAATATGCATAACGTTCTGATTTCTGGCTATGGGTTTTTACTGGGATTTCGTTTATAGTGTCTACAGTTTTACAGGTTTCTACAGAGATTTGGCCTACTCGTATCTGTACAGTCATACGGGTTTCTGTTTACAGGTTTTTTTTTATGGGTATTTGGTCTACGGGTACCGTACAGCTGTACGGGTTTCCTTTTATAGGGATTTGGCCTACGGGTACCCGTACGGTTGTAAGGATTTCTGTCTGTGGGTTTTTACGGGGCTTGGCCTACGTCTGTGGGTTTTTACTGGTACCCGCAGGCCAATTCCCCGTAAAAAATTTTTATGGGTTTCTACGGGGCATTTTTAGCAGGGAAAGGTTCAGAATTTTAAGTATTCGTGATAAATTATCCAATATTTAACAAATGTTATTAACTAAAACACCCGGAAGTGTTTTTTTGCTTTTTTTACAACTATAAAAGAAATGAATTAATAAGAACAATTGTTTATATTCAACATAAACAGACGGCTGATGTCCTGAAAACTGATTTATTCCGTTTTCTTAAATTTGAATTCAAGCAATATATTAGCCTGAATATTTTCTGATTTGCTAGAAATTTTGCAAATCATTTGGATTTGTTGCGTCTTTTACTGATATATGCAGTTACTCACCCTTTCTTGGTATTTCCAGAAGAAGAATCACTTGCACAGATTTGTCGAAAATTCAGCAAATTTACAATTAAAGCCTCTTTAGATGACTCTATACATATTGAAAATTTTTATCAATTGCAGCATGATCCTCAAAGGTGAAATTTTCAGGAGCACTAACGTTTCCTCTCCTTTTCCTAAAATGTGTCATATTTTTACTATTGTTATAGTTCCCTCGTTTTCAACATATTTATTCATCAATATGCTAGTTTAGCCATTTTAAAAGTCATTAACTCCTCTTCTTAATTGTTTACTTATTGCTAGTCTGTGTTATTATTTTATTTATTTATTTATTTAGAGTCAATGTTTCCTGCTATCATCTGCATTTCTTACCACTGTAATTGAGTCTCCATATCTGTCTGAGCAACAGGAGTTACATTATGCCATAAAATAATGAAACAAGGCATCATAACTCATCTCGTCTTAATTTGGTAGCAAGGGCCAAATATATTAAATATGTCTGAGTATGAAATCGCTTTTATAATACATAAAAATACATGTTTAATGATGCAAGGAGAGCTTCAAAATTTTTCGTGGCCTTTATAATTTGTCTTCATTTTGTACCATGTACACATTTTTGTAACTTATAAAGTTTACTCTTTTTAACAATCATAAATTTTAACCAGACCCTAGATAGATTGACAGAGAATTATCTCTTAAGTCTAAAAAAATAACATAGACTTTGAAAAGGGGTGTAAAAAGCCTTTGACTAAAACAGAACAGAAAACACACCTGGTGCTTACAACTGAGCCAGCACTTATGGCGAGATAACTTAAATAACAGTAAGTTCAAATTTAAAATAAGCTAGTAGTCAAAGACTACACAACTCAATTTAACGTGAAGTAGGCGCAAAAATCTAACCTTTGTAGATATTCAAATATCGGCAATAATAATGCAAGACAGAAGATTAAAAAATCTTATCTGAATTAGCAGCAACTTAGTAATATGGCCTCAAGAGGCAGAACACGTTGTCTTACAATCTAAAAACCTCAATTTAAATACCCGCAAACTAATTTGCGTTCTGGCTTGGAAATGGAAAGAATTGACACTAGGATCCAAAACATAAAATAACGTGTTATGTTAACATAATAGACAGTTAGAAACTATTGGCTTACAGTAAAGAACAGATAAAAGCACTCTCTGCAATTCTATTCTAGTTTTTATTCCTGATATGTTGATCTTGAACGAAACTTAAAAACAACTTTCCTTTACAATATATCTACTCTTTAATGACCTCTATTAAACCCGTTTACTTTTCCCTTCGTAACTGTCCTTCCCCTTCTTGACCAATCGGCGACGGCACCAATTTCAGATTTAGGAGGCAGGTTCCTCACTTGATGATGACGCATGCGCATTCGTTGTGTGCATAATCGAGAGTTCATTTTTAAAAACACCTTTTGACACTCATTAAATAAATTCATCAAAACATTTTTTAAGCATTCATTAAATAAACTTCAACAGTTTTGGTTCATTGGGCTGTGTATTTCATCATAACAAAGTTCTAAGTGGTGAAATGCTAACATCTGAAATGTAGGGGGAAGAAATTATTATTATTATTATGAAAACTGATTTGAAAATTTCAAATGACAGCTTGACTTTTTTAGTCAGGTAACAGAAATATAGTTAGTACAATAGGGGAACTTGCTACGGATTTTCAGCATCTACAAGAAATAATGTTTCTTGGTATACTTCCATCAGCTGTTACATAAATTAGATGCCCAAAACTTTGCAATGTGTCTTTTTCAAACACGTTTATCAAAAGGTCCTTTAGCTTTATGCTCAAAAATCACAAATGAGAAAACAGCAATATTGTGCAAACAGCAATATAGATGTCTTAAAATTTCTGCTTTGCAGCGACTCATAGTAGCAGGTCTATCAAAGCAAAAACAGCCCTAAAAATGCTCTTTTGCATGCACTGAAAGTATATTTCATATTTTATTCTCTGTAAAATTTGGTAAACTGGTCCAGTAATAGGAAGAAAAAGTTTGCTTTATACAAAAGGTTTTCAATGAAAGAGTGGTAAAACTCATTTCATGCTGCTCAAGAAGAATGATCTTGATAAAATTAAGAACTATTTTGTGTTGAATTAATGGATACTTCCTTTCTTAGAAATGAATTTCCTAGAATAAACAATACTTCCTTTCTTAGAAATGAATTTCCTAGAATAAACAATACTTCCTTTCTTAGAAATGAATTATGGTATTGAAATTTTCACTTTCAGTTTTCTAAACATCAGTTTTAGGATCAATGACCATTAAACTTTTGTTCGGTCAAAAATATATTTCACCATTGAAACAATGCAATTTCCCCATGAATAAAATAAGAAGTGTACATTTCAAACACTATTATATTAGGTACGTTTTTGTTGGTCTCGAAATTTTGTTAGTTTGCTTAACATAATTATCATGTTGAGGAATAAATTTGACATTTGAGATAGTACTAAATAATGAGGATGAGCCTCCTTTTCCCTTCAGGTGAAATATTTTGTTTATTAAAAGGTTATTTTTTCTTTCAATTTAGAAAGCACATTATTTAACGAAGAGGGCAATGAAGAATAGAGCGCTCTCTCTCTCTTTTCCCCATGCAGATATCACACATATAAAGATGCAGCCCTAATGGCATTAAATAATTGTCTGTAAATTTCCTAGGCTAAGTGTTTTTTGTTGTATAAAGAAAACACACATATCTTACATTGTTTACATACTTGTTTATTAAACATGAAATTATTCAAGTCATTACAAAAGACGCTGTGCTTCCTTTCAGTTCCAACAAAGTAGATTTTTTCATCTAGAGTAATAAAATATTTAATAATTTAAATACAATTAAGCATAGAATGAAAGCATAGTAAAATTCTCATAAGATAAAATAAATAACAACAGCTCCAACTGTTTTGATTAAAAATCGTTATTTTCAATTAGTAAATTTTCTTTCAAGCTAAATTGCAACAGTTCAATTTATGAAAAAGTGCTGTGATATATTTAAAACTCATTAATATTAATTAAATACGAATTTCAAAATAAGAAGTAAAATTATCATTGCGTGAGACAGCAAGAAGTAGATTTTTCCTATTCCATGAAATCATTTATGAGAAAAGTATGATATCCAGCATAATCTGTATCATAATCTCAAGCAATAATTTTATGACAGAAAAAATATTAAAGAAATGAGTAACTCTTTTATGAGAGTTCAGATATAAACAATTGAGAGAAGCTTGCCTCGAATGTTATTTTTGCAACTGAATTCAAGCACATATTTGAATAAATACATAATATAAAATGTTTAAAACACATTTATGAAGGTGTCTTTCCTTTATGAAGCTAGTATCACAGATTGCTTAACATATTAAGCAGAATATTAACAACATGGAACACTTATTCATGTGCCAATGCATAAATTTAGAACCACATTGTTTATTTTTCATAGTTTATTATATTCTGTCAAAAGAACTGAATTATATGGCACTGTATAATAAAAATTTAAATGAAGGTTTGGGTTTTTTTAATTAAATTCTTCTCAAAAGCAAAATAAACAGCTTTTAAATCTTGATTACTTGCCATGTATTTAATTCTAAAGCATTTTTGGATAGCTTTAATATTCCTATTAGGAGCTACAACGATTACTTTAAGATTCTGGAAATCGTACGTATCTTACGTTCCATTTAGTATAACACAGGACTGAAGAGGGACACAAGAAAATCTTTGGAATTTTGGCCTCTCATCAAATTTACAAATATACAAATAGAAATACATACAGCTATTTACATATATTTATACATTATGTACATTTTAAGTATTGTTATAATCAGTGATGAAATGGAATTTATTCACATTTTCTTGTAGTTTTTATTAAAAATTTCCTGAATCAGCATCTTGAAATTTTTTTTCAAATACTAAATCTACTTACACTGATGGTCAAGGAAATAGTGGCTTACAATGTTCAAATATCCTATTGTGCTGTAATTCTGTTGCAGAAAATAAAGTAGCACACACATAGTATGCATCACCATTACATAAAGAAGTATTTAATACTTAGCTTGTGCCATTAAACGAATGAGGCCAATTCTTGTTTTCAGTCACAATTTTTAAGAAAAATTGCTTCTTAAAAGACAACAAAATGAAAAATAACAACAAATTATTCTAATTTCTTTTGCAAATTTATGTTACAAAAAAGGAGGGATTAGCATGAATAAGTTTAATACAATTTATCATTAAAATAAATTCTTTCATCACTGCTTATATTACTGAATGTATTGACTGAAGATATATACATAATGATCACTACAATAAATAGTATCGTCATTGGATAAATTTGACATCAGACACTCTCTGTCAAATTTGAAGTTCAGTTTCTGATCCTGAAGAAGCTGCATTACCATGTGCACTACGTTGAGTTCTTGTCAAATGGGATGTATTGGGTCCCAGTAACTGAATAGAATTAGAACTACCACCACCAGGAGACACTAGTGGTGATATTGATGGAGACCGTGTTGCTAATGGTGAGAGAGCTGGTGAAAAACTAGGCGACATAGCAGGGGAGGAAAAAGTACTATCATGACCAATGGGTGAACGAGGTAATGTAGGAAAAGATGCAACCTGACTAGTATGTCCAGAGTTTAGAGCAACAGGTGCTATGGAACGAGGTGCAACATTTGTTATTAATGGTGGTGGCACTGTTTTTACTTGAGGATTTAATGTCTTTGGAGCACTAGAAGCATATGAGGATGGCACACTGTCATCTTTTAGCCTTGCTATTTCAGCAAATACATGTGCAAGAGGCTGGTACTGTGGTCCCCAGTCAAGTAAATAATCCCAATTATAACTACCCGTGAGTTCCTCTTCACTATGTACAATTGAACTTAATGAACCAGTCATTGAAGGTTCACCTTCATCTTCAAATCCAAAGCCTCTTGTACCATCTATTATCGCCTCATTTTCCTCAGTTCCAACGTCATGTAATTTTGAATAAATTAAATTACTAATGTCCATTCCATCACCTTCCCCTCCTCCTTCTTCATCAAACATGTGCATGCTTTCAACACTATGTGAATTGGATATCTTACTATAGTCCTGAATACTTCTTTGATCGGAATGGGATGTATTAATTCCTAACCTAGCAAGATATTCCTGAGTATTATGAACAGATATGTCAGACATATTATCATCATCTCTGTGAAGACCAGAATCAGGCATACCTAATCTTTGTAGCTTCTGCTGCTGTAAGAGAGGACCTTCATTTATCATCCTAATCTCTTCATCTTCTACATCTTCACCTTCTTCAGCTGACCCACGACCACTTGATGCCGAGTGAGACTGATCAGATACTTCAGATGTAGCACCTGTAACATGCTGTGAACTTTCAGGGGGATCAAAATGTGATATATCACTATAATGAGGAGGAAATTGTGAAATACTAGCAGAACTAGAAGGTGGATGATGGATATCAATAGTATCAAAAGAGTTGTCAAAACCTTGAACAACTGCAGGTTTACTGTTACGCTTTGTTCTCTTGCGAAGAAAGAATATCATACCAAGCAATATTAAAGCAAGCAATGATAGAGCTATTACTAAACCGAGACCCCAGGCAGGTAAACTGCTTCCAATTTTTTGTTCTGTAGCACTAAGACGTGATGAGTTCAGAGAAAAATCGACTAAAACGTCAACCACTACAGAACTGCTTAAAGAACTTGGACGTCCACTACTTGCTAACACATACAAAGAAAGTTCTTGATTTCTTACTTCACGTTTTAATCTGCTGGATCCCTCCCTACGGAATACTGATTTTACTGAAATAGCACCTGTTGTGCTATTGATTGCAAAATTTGATTGAGAATTTCTTAGCTGATAAACAATTCTGCCATCGATACCTTCATCTAGATCAGTAGCATGTACACTACCAACTAAATAACCAATAGGGACATCACCAGGTATAGTATAATGATAAGAATTTTGACTAAATTCTGGTGGATATTCATCTTTGCTTTCAATCTCAACTTGCACTTGTACTGTAGCATACTTTCCTCCAGAATCCATAGCCATTAAAGTAAAGAAATATTTATTTTTAGATTCATAGTCAAACACAACAAGGGAACTGACTAAGCCAGTTTCTGAATCAACTCTAAATTTTTCTTTTCCTTCTCCTTCTGTTACTGAGTAATTGAGTTTCCCGTAAAATCCTCTATCAGCATCAATAGCATGAGCCATGAATATAGGAGTTCCTATCGGCGAGTTCTCTTCTATAGCTTCTTTATACATTATCAAAGGAAAAAGAGGTGCATTATCATTTTCATCTTGTACTTTAATTACAACACTAGCTAATGCTGATAAAGGACGGTCTGGATCACTATCAGTAGCTCGAACTATGAATTTATATTCTGACACAGTATCATAATCTAACTGTTCTTTAATCGTTATGATTCCAGTATTTGGATTAAGATTAAATTTCTGATCATCATTTCCCGATGTGATATCATAAACTACTTTAGAATATAGGCCTTCATCTTGATCTTTAGCAATTACTTGAAGAACATTAGTGTCAATTGCAGCCATTTCTGAGACATATGCTTGATAATGGGTTTGATTAAAAACAGGCTGGTTGTCATTTACATCTTCAACATAAATATGCACATCTGTGGTTGAGTTCAGGGCTGGAATACCTCTGTCTGTAGCAACAACCTAAATATATATATAAAAAAGAATCTTAGTGGTTACATATTTAAAAGAATAACAACAGGGTGTATTTAACTTACTATGCATATTTTGAAGAAATAAGTGCACTGCAAAATGAATATTTAAAAAGACTATTAAACAGTTGCAACAGCTAAAATACACATCCTTTCCTACGGTTGGTATGAAGCTCTTTTAAACGGCAGTAATTAGAAATTAAAAGCCAAATTATAGACAACCCCTAATAAAAAAACTGGAACACTTTCATTTTCAGAATGTATATACTATAACTATTATATGTTATCCTGGGTATTTCACCTGTAAGATATTACTTTAACATGTAGAAATAGTAAACTATAGCAAAAATAATTAAGGCTTGAATATTGATCTAATGATTAAGATAAATTAGTCCTGCGAAAATTTGCAAAATATAACGCTGATTTTTATTGTTTAAATTCTAAATTGATGTAATGGTTAGTCTTCTAGATATATTTTGTGTTTACAAGAAACAAACACAGTGAATAGAAACTACAGATACTACTACAGATTCGTCTAAGATGTATAATGAAAAATCCAACAATACACAGAAGTGGATATGCTGTAATGATATGAAGATAACATACTATAATGATATGAAGTAACATTTTTTTTCTTTTTAACATTTTTTTTGGAGGTATAACATAATGATATGAAGTAACATTTTTTCTTTTGGAAAGTTACCAATGCAAACATTTCATGCTTGTGATGTAGCTCAGCAGTCACTAGAAATTTAACTTTTTTTCTTTCTTTTTTTTTTCTTTTCTTTTTTTCTTTTTCTTTCTTTTTTTTTTTTTCTTTTTCATAATTTGCTTTGTGTTATAAAAGTAGCATAAGCAAACACTTTAAATTAACAACATTCATTGGAAAAACGAGCTGTTCCATTTATATGAAAGGGAAAATTAAGGCAATAGTTTATGCAATTTAAAAAATTTTTATCCTACTAGCTTAAATGCATTTATCATGTGCAAGTTTTGAAGAATTATATTATCTTTTTTAACAGTTTCAGAATGAATTACAGTGTACAATACAAATGAGCCTATTGGTATGCCCATAATAATTCAAAGAAGTTTAAATAGCAATTTTGAGTTTGTGGATAAAAGTAAAAGAAAAATCTTTACAAGGAATTTCATTCACATTGTAATGAATGTAGAAACTATTTGGGAAAATAGAATTTTTGTTTTGCTATCAAAATCATTGCATTTTATATATATTGATCTTAACTAATGATGAAATATTAATGCCTTTTACATATTTGACAATCATGTATTACGTGTTTACCAAACATCTTCAGCATTAAAAACACCAAATGAAGGAGCTGTTTATTCGAGATTACTGCCCCATACTGTGACCTGTAAGTTGACAGTCTGAAATATTATATGATATTAACCGTTTAGTCTTAACTGCACGGCTTTCAAAATTCCAAAGACGGCTTTTCAAAAGAATTTCTTAAATGCATGTACATCAACCGGAAATGACATTAATCATATAAATATTAGCACAAACTGCAAAGCTACTTTGAGTATTTTCACAAAATGTATAAAATAGGTATACTTTAAAGTTTTCTTAGCTTCATTACAGCTTATTTAGGAATCTATACCCAAATAGGAGTAATTTAGTTATAAGAGTACTCTATGTTTCTTACCTTTAAAGTATAACTAGCCTTTTCTTCACGATCTAAGGATTTCATTAGTATAATTTCTCCTGTTGTACCAGCTATAGCAAATACATCCCCCGTATTCCCTTCTGCTATTCTGTAGTCAATGTTATGGTTCGAATATGATTTGTCATGATCAGTAGCTGAAACTTTCATAACTGTGAAACCTCTTGGTGCATCTTCAGGAATATGGCTCCTAAATATAAAAACGTTTTTAATGAAAAAATACATACAGCATAAAAATTTCTATTTAGTATCAAATCTTTAATATACATTTAAAATAATATAATAAATCTTTGATATCATACATCATATAAATAAATCATACTGCCTGACTTTCTCACTCATGCACCAATCTTTGGATCTTCAGCTGATGTATAAGGGTACCCAAGTTCCCTTGTGCGATAAATTTAAATATTTGGGTGTGATGTTTGACCGCAAATTAACATGGAAGCCACATGTTGAGGACTTGTACAACTGTGCTACGAAGAGACTCAGTATCCTTAAACGCCTTGCTGGGGCAAGGTGGGGTTGCACTGGACAAACCCTGCTCCAAACTTATCATTCGTTTATCCTCCCCATTTCTGACTTATTGCTGTGAACCACTTGTTGTGGCCGTAGAAAATGTATTCTAGATAAAATCCAAAATCAGTGCTTACGTATTGTTTCTGGAGGCGTGAAGACCATCCCGGTTGACGCCATGTTTATGTTAACTGGTGATAAACCCTTAATTACCCTAATCCAAGAGAGGGTCTTAATTCTCTGGGAAAATATTAATAGAGTTCCTGGATGTATTTCACTCTGGAATGAAGTCAATCAAGATCTGACTAGAAATTTGAAGACCCAGATGGGCTTTCTACAGAGAGTTTTTCAGTTAAAAAATTCGCTTGGTGTAATGAATGAACCAGAATTACTTGTTCCACTACAAAATCCAATAAATTAGAAATCTTCCTGGATTAATCTTGACCTGGGTCAAAACGTAACGAAACGTAATATGGATCCATCTATTTTGAGAGCCCTCGCTTTCAAAGTATTAAAATATTTTTTACCCTGAGCCAGAGTGGCTTCGGATCTTCACCGATGGATCCCTCCTGTCTGATGGCCCTAATGCTGGTACCGGAGTTTTCTCTGAAATTTTCTCTTTCTACATCCCTGTGGGCCAAGGTTCTGCATTTGACGGTGAAATTGCTGCGATTCGCACAGCTCTGTACCAGCTACCATGCCACTTGGAAAAATTCTCAAGAGCTGTTATACTCAGTGATTCCCGAGCTGCTCTGTTGGCTATCGTTTCAGATAAAAATCCCATATCACAGGATATATTGGATTGTCGGCATTATCTACAAAACCTGGCTTCACTGGAGAAAACTATTGTCCTCCAGTGGGTTCCTGCCCACTGTGGGATTCCAGGTAACGAGAAAGCCGACTTCTTGGCAAAAAAAAAAAAAAAAAAAAAAAAAAAGGATGCTTTAATCATGCAGAATATTTCTCGTCCTTTGCCTTTCCATACTGTTAGGGACCTTATTAAAAGATCTATCAAAGTACGTGATCAGAAAGATCTCTATCATCGTGTTTCTCATAAGTCTTGGAAGAATGCTATCCCGAATTTGTGTAATAGCCCAAGGCGTAGAGCGGTCGCTGAATTCTATGAAATTTGAATCTATGAAGATGATATTGTAGGACATGACTGCCTACAATATCATCTTCATAGATTCAAATTTGTTCTTTCTCTGATATGCACTCTGCAGCTCTAGAGAGGTGATGGATGCCACACATCTACCCCACTGTCCTGCTCTGCGCAAGACTTTTCTTGCCAAGCGTTATTGGGAGGCAAAGATATGTTAGATTAATGGACTCTGTTGCAGCTGTTTTCTTTTTCTCATTGTATTGCTGTATTCAATGTTCTTTGTTCTTGTTTTTTTGCTGTAACTGTTCATAATCTGCCATTGGAAATAAAAAAAAAATCTTTGATATACATTTAAATAATTATTTTAAGCTACCCCAATTATAAAACAGTTAGGTTACAATCATGCACGTTCCACTTATTCACGTACAGTTTCATCTCTTAATAAAAAAAGACAGTATGAAGCACATGGTTTGTTTTTGTAAAAGTAAATTATGTTTCATTTGACTTTAAAGGTAATTTTTTCAGCAATCAAAAATTTTAAGCATATTTCTCAAATAAAAAAGCATATTATATTATGAGATATACTGTGTAAATTATCTCAGATAATAATAAAACTAGCATTCACGGAAATTAACTATGGAAAGTGATGTCGATACAACTTTACAATTAGTATATAAAATACATTCATTACATAACAACGGGCATTTCATAATGAAACTGAGGTATGTTTCACATTAGGTTTGTTAGGCATATACAAACTCATAACTTGTGGATAAGAGGATCACTTTCTAACTGCTCATCCATGCAACTCTTGATGCAACACAGCAAAAATATCTGACAAAACAGCCATGCCATTTCACAAATACGCTTCTAAAATTTTTAACCTTTAATATAATATGTGCCTCTCTGCTCATTTTACTGTGCTTCACACATAAATAAAAATTAACTCATACCACATAAAGGAGGTGACAGAAATAAAAATTAATGAATTATTAATACGTCATAAACTAAAACAATTCACATACATTTTTCGCTCAATATTACAAGTTCAATTTCATTATTGCACTAAAACTGAAGATTTGTTTTCAAAATTAAAGTAGCATACATAATCTGATTAAATGTTATGCATTTAATTATAATCTGATTATATGTTAATTCCTTAAGTTGGATAAAAAACATATTCATTGATTCAGTATTTGCATTTGTATATAAGGTATGTGAAATATAGTCACAATAGACGTTTTGTGAGTGAATAAACCAGGCAGGGTGGCAAATAGTAATATAATTATTTTTAAAAAAATATGTATAATATATATATATATATAATATATATTGTAAATAAAACTGAGTAGAATAAGCCACAGAAAAGAGCATATAATAAAAGCAACTTAACTAGTAAAAGCTTCATGTTGTCCCTTTTTTAAAGATAACAATAAATAAAATGTAACTTACTATAATCTGCAGTTGAACACTTTTGAAACATTGGATAATGGAATATTCCGTTTAAAGAAATAAAATCTCTGTGCATCGAAACATGACAAATTATGAAAAGTTTCAGATAACAGAATAAGAAATCCTGATTATAAATCTCTGAATTCTGCTTGATGTAACGAAAGACAATCCCACTTTCTTTATTCAATAATTTAATCATGTGAGGCATTTGCTTCTCATGATTAAATTATTGAATAAAGAAACATTTGCTTTTGCAGATATTCATTATATTGAGCTGTGCACTAGAAACAATAGGAGAAAAGGCTGGCTAAATGCTCAATGTTTGTTTGTTACTTTTGTGAAGGGAAACAGCAGAGAAAACTTAGATTGCTTATAGCACAGGCAACTAAAATGCGTCAACAAACACATGTTACTTGCTTTTAGACTTACAATACATTACTTCACTGTACTATTACTAATAAACTATATTTCTTTTTAGGTGAGTTTGCGGGCTGAGCTGAATTAACCATTAAGCACTATAAGTATGTTCTTAGGTCAGTGGTTCCCAACTTTATGCCCGTGAGCACCATGACATCCGCCAATCGTTTAATGTGCCCGCCGCTGTGAGATCACGATAAAAATGTTTCAGTTTTCAATAAAACTCTATGTGAAAGTTCTCATTTTTAATAAAATAGAAATTGCGTTCAAAACAGATACTAGCACAAAGCAAAATGCGACCAATTTCTTTTTTTATGCACATGAATTATTAACTCTACTCAACTATAAATTCACCTTGAAAAAGTAAATGATGCTCGCCATCTAATAGATATTCTAGACTGTGCTCTTAGGGACAAAAATGTAGGAGACCCTTACCTTTACAGCATCAAAGAAAGGAGGCACCGAATAATTTCTCATTGCCGGTCTTATCAGGGAATGCATGTTGCAGCTAAATAAAATCCGATAGAGAACAAATGAAGAAAAATTGACATAAACATGTGGAGGCACCAAAATCTTTTACATACTTAGGGCTACTAATAGTCTTAATCCAGCTCTGCTTATAGCTTTTCTCTCACCTCTAACTATGGAAAGAAGGAGGGCAGGAAAATGAATGCCTGTTTTTTATCCTTTGTGGCAAGAATATGTGTAATGAATATAACATGTAGCTGCCTCTGTTTGCAGGTATGTAATTTTATTTTAATTTAGTGAATGATATTATGAAGAGAAATCGAGGAAAAAAGAATTTCCAGATTATTGGAAAATTCTCCTCTGATAAAATGGCAATTCCATTAAGCAAGTTCAATTGCATACATGAAAAAAGTTTCACATGAAATAACTTGCTTATAAAACATGAAATAAAACTATGTACAACAATGAACTGCAATGTTAAATTTATACTTACGTGTATGAAAGACTCGAAAATTTTGGTGCATTATTATTCACATCTACTACTTGTATATGTACTGCAGCTACAGCTGTCATAGGTGGATGTCCTTTATCTACTGCTGATACTATAAGCTGTATAGTATGCTGCCTGGGATCGAAAGCTATAGATTTATTTGTATAAATAGTACCTGAAAAAAGATTTTCTTTTGATTAAAATTTATATAATTAATAAATTATCAAAATGAAGTATTTTCACATGAAATGCCAGAAAAAATATTTTTATTTAAAATAAATACTGCAGCAGCTTTCTGTTTGTATCAACATTTGTTAAAATTAATTTGGAATTTGAAATTAAGGGTAAAGGTATCATCTAATTATAAAATACAAAACTAACAAAAATGGGTAGATTTCTAATTCAGAAGACAAACAACAATTTGTTCGATTAAGGGCATTAAATGTACTTCTGTGGTCATCTGTCTTAAAGGTGGCTTTGGGAATCTAAAATTTTATATTCAAAAAGAAGTGCTTATTATGTGTGTGTGTGATTATGGCAAAGCCTCGAGGGCTATCTGCCTAAGGGGAGGGATGCCTTCATGGAGGACTTTCTAAGGGAAACTGGCTCGTATACACGTTACACATGGGGAAAACCACGAAAACGCCCATGCAGCCAGCCCGTTCACGGGATTCGAACCTCGGACCGAACTACCAGTGTTCAGCAACTTTACCGCTCAGCCGCTGGTGGGCCCCTAAGTGCTTATTATGAGTGGATATTTCATTATTTAAAATATATCCTATTGGATACATTTTTATACATCAACAGAATAAAATCTGAATAAAAGCATAATTCATTATTGGAAACAAATCTTATAATAAAATATTTTTATAATTATTGACAAGGGTAATTTACCTGTGTTTTCATCTATGTAAAATCCATCAACTGCAGATAAACTCATACTGTATCGCAGCTGAGCGTTCATACCTGAATCGTTATCAGTAGCATTAACAGTTATGACTCTGTATCCTGGATCTACCAACTCAGGCACAGTTACCTAATCAAAATTAGAAAATAAAACTATAATCTTGCTGAAAACTGTAAATATGGTATATGATCAAAGAATTATTATTCAAAACAATTGATCAAAGTATTGCAGAGTGTATTTTTGTTAAGAAGTTAGGTACTGTTATTAAAAATTAGTTATCTCAGAAGGCATCTGTCAGTGAGCAACAATGTGTATTACAAAAATTTGCTAAGGAATTCATGCAGATAAGAGATCAATTAATTATTATCAACTAAGCTTAAAACTAAAGCTCAAAGCTTCAATTTTTCTGGGAAAAAAAATCTAGCTAAATTGTAAGTATTACTTTTACAAATACATGCATTGAATTGTTTTGCAAACATTAAAAAATGTGTACATTCAGCATGTTCATTACATGGGCTTTGATATTTATTGTATAAAAGATGTAATAGTTTTAACATCACAAGGGAAAGTTATTGTTCATTGTTAGTAATAAAATATGTTAACAAATATTTCAATATTTTACACTTTACGCCATTTTGCATTGAATTTAAATTTTGTTCAACATTAATGATTTGCATTTCTGAGTTTGAACAGGAGGTATTATTTTTGTTAAGAGATTTTTTTTTAAATTAATTTTCAGGTAATCTCATCCATAAGGGTTACTTTGTAATGTGAAGCTTCAGACTTCAAGTGTTATCCCTTACCTATTTAACTTATCCATTTATTTCAATAACCACGTTTTGTTAATAATAGCATTTTGTTACATTACAGAATAAACATACAACCTCAAAAATAAAAGTAATTAAAAATATATATTAAAAATATATTTTACCTGATACGGTTGTCTGCTAAATACAGGAGGATTATCATTAACATCAGTTACATGAACTGTTAATGAAGTTTCAGCTAAATGAGCAGAGTCTGATGCAAAAATTTGGATCAAATATTGGCTTCTCTTTTCATGATCAAGTGGCTGAGCAAGAGTAATCCGTCCACTGAATCGATCTATGCTAAATAAATTGTTTGGATTTCCTCCATCCGCAAAGCTATATATCAAGGCTGGATTAGTGTCAACATCATTTGCTGTGATTGTTGTTATAACTGTTCCTACCTCAGCACCTAAGAATGTAATATCATTGTTAGAAATAGTTAAAAAAAATAGTGTATTTCACTAGTCAATGTTACTATAAAAAACTAATACTTTTATTACATAATCATGCACTTCAACTAATTTACAGCTACTTGAAGCATTTTCAGTTTAGTAAAAAGACCAACTGCTAAATACTATAATTGGAACAACAAAAATAAAATGGAACAATAAAAATAAGTAAAATTATTTAATATCAAATGACCACAGAGATAAAAAAGTAACACACTTGAGTCCATTAGTCAGAATAGAGAGAAGATCAAATTTATTTAGTTGAAATGTTTATTTTAACATAAAAGTTCTTTCACAAAGTTCCATTGCTAAAAATATTTCATTTTGTAGCTCTTGATTTTCAAGTGAAATTACAGTATTTCTTGAGAAATTTGAGAATTATTTCACTACTCACAGTAAAATAAAAGAGACACAAACTGAGGTGAGTTAAAAAGGTTGAGGTTTTTCAAAATCTAAACATTCTAAGTACTTTTAGACATTTTGTAAAAACATTCGGTTGTTAAAAATAATTATTAATAGCATTATCGATATTTCAACAATGCATTATGAAACATGTAAGAAAAATTATATCGTGCATATTCCATACATATTGCATTTAAGAGGAATATTTCAAATGTTTGGGTAATTACTATTATAACAATTCTATGTATATAAACATATTATATAGTTATAAAAAATGTTTGCTCATTAACTGCTATTTTGTAAAATAAGGAAGTAACTATTTCTGAATAAAAGCAAACTTTAAAAATTTATTAAAACTCTTTCAAATGCATTTATACCTTTTAACAACCTTCATAAAATTTTGCTGTATGCCAAATAGTACATACCTTCACTAATGCTAACAACATTGTGTGGAGGGAAGACCGGCTGATTGTCATTGACATCAATTATACTGATTCTTAAAGTGCATGTTCCAGTTAGCTGTGGAGTGCCCTCATCAGTAGCAATAATTGTAAGATGATAAGTATCTCTTATCTCCCTGTCCAGAACTATATTTGTTTTGACAATGCCACTGAAAGGTGGATCTATTATAAATGCATTATCATGGTTTCCTTCAATTATTTGGTAAATAACTATACCATTTCCATTTTGATCCTCGTCAGAAGCTGTGACCTAGTACATAAATATATAAAAGAAGTTTTAATAGAACATAAAAGAAAATAAAGTTGAACAAAACTTGTATTATCAGTTTTAATACAAACAAATCTTTTTTAGGGGGGGGGAAAGAAAGAAAAGAAAAAACTCACCTGTGTTACAAATGTGCCTTTATTATTTCCTTCCCATACAGAAGATACATAATGCTCTTGAGAAAAAGATGGTGAATTATCATTCTGATCTAAAAGACGAACAGTTAGAGAAGCATAACCATGAAGAGGTAGTCGACCATCACTATGTGCAACAACAAGCATTCTGATTTGTGTAGCAAGTTCATAATCCAGGTGTTGAGAATTGCGGACTGATATTACACCTGGGAGTAAATAAAGTATGTAAAATATTACTATTATATAACAAGATTAGTCATTCAGCTAAGTAAAGAAAATCCTTTTATGTTTGCAGGAAATATTTATTTTTAATTCCATATATTAAATTATGAATCAATTAAATTAATGTAATAAAAATAAGAAATAAAAATAAAGCAGAAAAGGGCAAATACGTAAGAATATGACTCATTGAGTTAAACATAAAATTAAAAATCAATATTTTGAAGCAGGTAACATATTACGTGAGTTATAAATTTCTATTTATATAATATAATGTAAATATAAACATAATAGTATCTGAATATGCTTGTTGGCATTTTTAAGATGAAATTTTTGAAATGACTAATGACACCTGTGTTTTGAAGGACTCCTGAGCAATTCAAATACAAGTAAAATGAAAAAAGAAATTTAGGTATTATTACTGCTCTATGATTTATCAAGTTAAGAACTGAAACACTAAATATTTATTTATCTATGAATCTTCTAAACGGTAACTGACATTTTTTAAAGCAAGGTTTAATGCTTATGCTTAGGAAATGCCCTGTTGCTGTAATGCTTCTGCTCATACAAAATCCATACCACATATTCATATTCTATATCATAAAGTAGCAAAATGCATGTTTTGAAAATGAATAACTATCCCATAAAAGGAAACTGTTTAAAGATGATTTTTATTTTATCTAAAAATATACAGGCCAGGATATTTTTAGAATGTCTCTCTCTTCTTGCAGCTGCATTGTGTTTCAGATTATACCTGACGTTGCCGAACTTCCTAGTAATTATTATTCACAGGTGAAATGTATGTATTATTACTGCTGCTTCATATCTTTTGTATGTGTTTTTTTTTTTTGTTCGGACGGGGAAGAATTTTTTCTTTTAACTTTTCTTCCTTAGTTCCTCTTTAACAATCATACCCAACTATCAATTACTAGAGTATTTTCAGTCAGCAGTTTAAATATGATTATAAACACAAGTAAAATTTAATATTTAAAATATACTAAATTTTGTAATACAAAACTCAATCACCATCCACTTAACCATCCACACACCAAACACCATCCACTTAAATGTTAAGAATATACTAGTTGTAATTTGTATTTTTTTGGTAATTTAGCAGCTATTTGTAATTTACTTTTAATACTTGCTATCATACTACTTTTTATGAGTAATTTTATTTCATTTGATAACATAATGAATTCGCTTTTTTCAATCCAATAAATAACTATCAATTTCACATAAAATGATTTGTTGAAACATATATGTTTAATGGAAAATCTATAAGAAGGGAATTAGGGTCAGAAAATCATTGCAAATGTCATTAATATATTGTGATAAGGTTACATAAAAGAAGAAGAGACTGAAGATTTATATGGACAAGGATGTCTCGTGAGCATAAGCTGAAAATTATTATTTTTTTTTAACTTACAAATACGTTTTCAATAGTTGTTAAAATAGTCTTTATTAAATTAATTAAATCATTGGCAATGTTAAAAACGCAAGCTCGAGAGCCACGAATTGCTCTCGCACGTAAAATGTATAGAATTTGATTTTTAAAAAAAGTAGGTTTTTCTCTGCAGAATTGTATGTAGCCATTTTTTTAGCATTCAATAAATTTTATTATGCTGTGTTTTGTTTTCAACTTGATGTCACAACCCAGGGTTTGCATAGCAGTTTCGGCCACTACACCACAATATCAACAATCTATATCAAGATAGTTAATTATATGAAACATATAAAGTATTTATAGAACACTTTAAATAAATATAAACTAATTGCTTGAGTTTCTTAGATCTGAAGAATAATCAGACTGGTTAGATTAAATCCTTACCTGTCCTCGGATCAATTTCAACAGCACTCTCCTCATTTCCACTTTTAATTGAATAAGTTATTACTGAAGAATGACCGGGAGGAGGAATAGCTTTCACTTGTATTATTTCTCGCCCTGTTGGTGTATTTTCAACAACATCTACCACATAAGTATCATTTTGGAAATGCAGTCCACTATTAAAACCAACACCTTCACCTACATGAATTTCAAGGACACCTAAAATAAAAATAATTAAAAAAATCTTTGTTAATAGTATAACAGCAATGAAAAAGAAAGTTTTATTACAAAACTCAATATTTCAAAAAAAGTAAAATTTAAAAATAATGTTATTATTATTATTATTCTTACCTCTTGCAATTCTTGGTGGATGGCCTTTATCTCTAGCTTCTACTTCACAATGAAACACATGCCCTGCATCAGCTAAGAGGCTACCAGCTACAGTAACGATTCCAGTTTCAGTGTCTAAATGGAATCTGCCACTTAAATAGGGACTTGTGAAACTGAAAGGAAGAGAAAAAACATTAAGCAATCTAAAATTTATAATTAATTAAAATATGAATAATTGTATCATATAATAATAATTAGAGACAGCTTTACCTATTTTTTAAACTGTCCGAAATACGAATTTTATTATTAAAAAGTGTTTCATAAATTTTTATTCCTTAAAAAACAAGATTCATAAGTTCGTTAAAACCTTTCATTATACTTGATTTCTCTCCAAACAAAATTCATACAGATAGGTTATACTTAATTAAGGAAGGCTTTTAAAAATGGAGTATATTTAAAATGTGTTCAGGAAGATGAGTATATAAATACCTATAAAGTACTTCTCCATTCGGGCCTTCATCGTGATCATCAGCTTCTAATTGTATAAGCTGTGTTCCTGGAGCAGCATGAGCAGAAACAGATGTAATAAAAGGATACTGAGTAAACACGGGGCGATTATCATTGACATCAACTATCATAACTTGAACTACAGCTTTCTCAGATCGAGCATCATAACGTCCACCATCAGTTGCACGTACTTCAAATACATAAAGAGACTTTTTCTCTCGATCAAACGATCTGTAAATGAGGTAAAATTTTGATTATTTATGAATATTACTTAAGTCATATATAAACTTAAAAAAATTAACAATGTTGGTAAGAAATTGAGAAATTTTAATTGATGCTACTGAAAATTCCGCATTAACGTACAGTATTTTAACAAATCCTTGTTACCATACAGAAGACTGTTCATTTCTTGGTACATTATTTTGGGAAGAAAAGGAACAAGGAAAAAAAATGAAAATTTAGAAATTTCCAATTATTTCAACTGTATTACAACATTCACCTCATTTTTTTCTCTACAATTTTTTAATGCATGTAATCAAAATCCTATTCACTAGTAAATAAAGCATGACCGCACATAGTTAAAGCAGAGATTAAGTTCCTTAGACTTCCAGCCTAATTAAGTAGCATAAATTGAAGCAAGGCTATGATGGAAACATATGCAGATACCTAGGTTCATTTCGAAGAGTTGACATTTCAGTTTCTTGAAACTTTATACACTGGAGATTGTTTAATATTTTAGATCTGTGGTCTCAAACTGGCGGCTCGCATGCGGCCCCTGAAGAAATTTTATGTGGCCCGCGAAGACATTACAATTATGAATTTATTGCAAATACAACATTACAAAGATTTCAAGATTTTAATTATCTGAAGTCCGAGGATGCACTATTTTCATTACCATTAAAGCTAAAGTGAAAATCGCATCAGAAAATCTATAAATGGAGTTAACTAATTTACAATGTAATATAAATCTTTTTCAAAGATTTAAAGATACACATTTTATTAACTTTTATTCGTATTTGACACACACACACAAAAAAAAAAAAAAAAAAAAAAAAAAACCTCAGTTAAGAAATTTTACACTGAGAATAATTTCTTTCTTCGAGAATACAACAGGATGTAAATAGCTTTTTTTTTTTCAGAGGTGAAAATTAATTTGATACAAAGATCGACTAATGAGCATCTACCATCCGTGATGAAGGTAATTTTTTAGCAATTTTTCTCCTATGCTACGAGCTTTATCAAGATCAAAACGTCATCAAGCGTCAAGCTGTAGTAAGAAATAAAAGAAGTTTATAATTATTTACATGCAAGCATATGTATTTTTACTTATGCATCAAAGAAAATTTTGATAAATAAGAGAAACAGACTAAGTTGTGATTTATGTGTAAACAATTCAGTTATAAGAAGTTGAAGCTATTTCATGTTGTAGACACAATATAGAGACTTTTTTTTTCATTTTTTTGACCGCTTGATAATTATTAATTATTAATTTATTCGCAAGTTTTGTTTTATGTGGAAAAATTTCTCTAAGAAGTTAAGAAAGCGTTCATAATTTCTTCCACCTGTGAAATTAAATTAAATTATTTTATGATTAATTAAACACTTGAGAACATTTTTAAATAAATGTGAATCTGAAAATTTAATATTTAGTTGTCAATATATTTGATTTAAAATGTGTAACCAACAAAAGTGCCTTGCAGGTATTAAATTTTAGATTTCAAATAGAAAATTAAAAAAAAAAAGTTTGAATTTTTTTCTTTGAGATATTACTTTTATTAGTGTTTACTTGTGTTCTGAAAAACACTTAATAATCGAAATTTTAAATTTATTAAAAATTTTTTTTTACTCTGTTAATAAAATTTTTTAGATTTTTTTTAAAAAAATTCTAACCTATGAGCTGTTTTCAAATCGTACATGAGACCCGCGGGTTCTTTGAGTTTGACACCAGTGTTTTAGATAATTATGCTTATGAATGAAAAAGAAAATCATTGCGATAAAATCATAGAAGAGAAACATTTCTTGCTTCTTTCTGTCTTTTCTGATAATAACGTAAAATTTGTTTAACTGTCAGTTCCTTTCTTTGGAGACAGGAATTTCAGAATGAGGAACATACAAAATTAGCTAGTCAAAAATCGAACCACAAATATTCCATTTGGTAGCTGGATATATTAAACACTTACACCCCAAAAGCATGAATGGAGGAATGCGGTAATTCCTTACAACCTCTTCCACTCAAAGAGAAACTGGGCAGAAGGCACGAGACAGAATTATTCAGATTAACGTGGTGACGAGTTAGCTTTCACCTCTGTGGAGACAAGTTTATCGATGATATGTTAAACTAAAAAAATCTTTGATCTCATGAGGATTCAAACCACAGATCTTCCAACTGCCAGCCGAATGACTTATGTCACAAAAGCACGGATGGGGGAATGCGATAATTCCTTACATCTTAACTGTTGAGCTTAGCATATAACTGGCTAATTGCTTCAAAGATTTGATTTCCTTATTAACTAATATAAAAAATTTCTACTGTTAATGGAATTAAATAGACACAGACATCTTTAATTTTTCTGTGATTTCTCGGGTAGTTTCTCAGCTATCATATCTTAATCTTTAGCCGTCTTTCTTTTCCTGAATTCTCTCCTTGAATTTAAAAATCCATCTGCTACAAGCAATAAATAGAAGTAATCCTTGTCAGCTCAAGACTGATCAAACATTTTGATTTAACCGCATAAACAATTCTGTTAAAAGAAGTTGAAGCTAGTTCATGTCGTAGACCCAATATAGAGACTTTTTTTTTATTTGTTTGACCGCTTGATACCGGGATTAGTACTGCGAGAGGGTTTCGCATCAATATACACCATTTGCTCAGAAGTTCCATAATGACTCATCCTTTTTTATAATGATTTTTGTAATTCATTAAGTTAAACTACATATCTAAGGTGGTACACACCTGAAATTTTCTTTTGAATGATTGATTTATTGTGATTTCACAGTCTCGGAGACAAGTGCACTTGAAAACACGTGTTTTAGATGTACGGTGGCAAATATATGAAAATTTAAAAAATAATAGTGCAAGAATGACAGCAAACACATTAACACGGAGAAACAAATTAAAAAAAAAAAAAAAAAACTATGAAAGAACTATGAAACAAGAAGTCCTTGAAAAGAACGGCAATAGATTCTGAATGAACACAAGAGAATCAGTCGGCTATAAAATTTCTTTCCATAAAGTTTTATGTTTTCTAGATCCCACATAGTCTATGGCAGGGCATTTCTCACAGAGATGACCAACTATAATTGTAATGTACAAGATGAGCAAAATAGAACCAGTTAAGCATATATATATTATATATATAATGTTCTTGACTGGCATGCCTTATAAAGTCTCCACAACATGACAGTCCAGAATTCAATATAACAAAATCCGTCATTTCGAAATCAACAAGCTGGAAAAAATTCTTCAGAAACACTTGCAATTTAAATAATAGGTAATATGCATATTCATTTCTCTCACCACATTAAAAAAATTTTTAAATTTCTACTTTTTTTAGATAATTATTTATTAAATGAACCTTAGTGCTCCCAGGAAATACATTCTATTTAGCACAGATTAACTTGAAAGTAGATAATATGATTTTTAACATTTGCAGTAAGATATTAAGCCCCCTAAAATTATTTCCAGAAAATTTTCAGTTTCAAAGAAATTGAAATCGATTTATTTAATCTACAAAAGTATTTCCAGGAATGCAGCAATTTCTTGCAAAGCACGAATTAATATGACTGAGAAAAACTGCACAGTCCTCTCCCGCTTAAAATTATGAGCTAGAAGAAAAAGCGAAATTTTCCACGTTACATTAAATTCGAAGAAAACGTACTTAAGGCGCTACGTGTTTTTTCATTATAAAATTGCATCGCTTACTTTTGAAGATTAATTTCATTATAAAAGCGCAATTCTGCTTATCTTCAGGGACCTAAAAGACACAATTCTTGCACTTCTATAAGATCTCAGTGACAAAGGCATAAATTTGTAATCACAGGATTAACTAAATTGAATTTATATGATTTTACTAAGATACTTATTGCTTTTAATAGGCGCTTTGAGCAAAGAATTTCGTTGAAATTACATTAGCTTTCCAAAGGCGAATCATTCAATTTATACACTTGAATTTGGTAATATCAGTTTTCTAAGTAAACCCTTTTTATTTAATAGTAACACATGCCGCATTTTAAATTATATGCATGACAAATGCGCAATATTTCTTAATTTTTTGTTCTAAAAAAGTAAATTTGTTTCTTACATTTTTGGTTGGTCATTCAACCTCATTCTTAAATATTTATTCCATTGCGTCATACTTTTGACAGAAAAACTTTTACAAGACCCATCTTTATTTTAACAGTTATCTCGTAGAATTAATTATTTGATTTTGAAATTAAGTGAATGAAGTATATTCAACTCTTTACTTTATAAGATACAATATAAATTCATACCCTGCGGTAGTTATAACACCACTCGAACTGTCAATCCTGAAAAGAGACTTTGTCTCATTACTTAACGAGTAAGTAATTCTACTATTAACTCCAAAATCTGGATCTTGGGCCCTCACAGTTAAGACAGTACTGTTCAGAGATACATCTTCGGTTACAGTAGCACTGTATTCATTGTGATCAAACTGAGGATCATTGTCATTTTGGTCCAGCACTATAACGGTGACATTACACATTCCAGCCAGTGGCGGTTCTCCTTGATCATGAGCTGAGACAACTAGCCTGTACTGAGAAACTTGTTCCCGATCCAAAGGTCGGCTAGAAAGCTGTCCCGTATGCAAATCAATGCTGAATTTATTTCCAATATTACCATCTATAAATAGAAAAGTACAAATGCTTTTAAAATTCAGATAAAATGAAATGATATTAAGGTACACAAATACATAAGAATTGTGCAAAAATATTTATTTCAGTGAAGTAATGTTATAATAAGAAAATCAGAGAGTTAGAAGAACAGATCGGTCTTCTAAGTTGAGATTATAAGATCCTACATAAAACTAGATCAAAATTTTATTATTTAGGAAAACTTTGTTAGAAGTTTGATGTGCTATACTTCTGTAAATATTCTTATTATATTACTCAAAATAAGTTATAAGGTGTAATCTTAAAAAAGAAAATATTCTGGAATCAAATATACCATAATTTTTTATACATGCTAATTTTATACATGCTTTTTTTATACACGCTTTTCATGCTAATTTTGGTTCACAGAAAATTTTTTCTCACATCTTTATCTACAATTCAAGACATTTTGATTTATTGCTTCTTATTCTTTACAAATATGAAGGCTGAAATGTTCAAAGATAGAAAGCATAATTTAGATAACAGCTGAAATAATGCAAAATACTTTTAAAACATATCCATTTGACTTTCATATAACAGTATTTTGATCAAATTTCATAAAAGCTGTTGTTACTGGGTCCTTTTTAGCTCCTAGTTATATTATTGAGAGTTTTATTAACGTGTTTTTAATAAAATTTAATTTTCAAATAATTTTTGAATAAAAATATAGATTTCAGAACACGCACATGCAAAAATCCTTTTCACTAATTTTGTACACTACAGTAAAAATCTTCAATGTGGTATGTAAATCTCAAAGTATGGTGGTACACGAACCATTGTGTGTTGGGAGACAAATCTTGATGAGTTGCACACTATTCTTAGATACTCTTTTTCTTATTACAAAATTATGTACATTTACCTGCAATTGTTAATTAAATTTATAATTATTAAATAATTGCTCGTAATTATACATTTTTTATTATTATTTCATTACTACATTAATTCCTCCTAGGAGCCTCTTTTTATTCCATCCACCCTAACCACAAAGAAGTTACATGCATGTGGGCTATGATAAATTACAACTATATGGATGTAAGATAGCGATGCTAACACGCTTGGGAAGCATTATTTAATTTCCTGTACCGTCGAAAATAATATAATAAAATAAAAATAAAAAAAAAAAAACTCATGATGCATATATGATCTATATTTTTTAAGTTAAAACTACGGATATCCGTAGAAAACAATTAACATCAGTTTAAATATAAAGAAAAGTGTTTAAACATATTAAAATACATTCTTACCAGTTATCGTGTATGATACTTCAGCGTTAGAGTTCGTATCCTTATCCGTTGCTACAAGTGTGTGAATCACGCTCAGATCACTGTTTTCAGGCACATGAAGAGTATAACAAGAGTCTCCAAACTCAGGAGCATGATCGTTGACATCGAGAAGCTCAATTTTTACTGTTGTTGTATCATGCTTCGATGGGAATGCTCCATCCCTGACATATACCGTCACAAAATAAGATGACTGGTCTTCTCTATCAAGGAGTGCAGCTGTATGAATCTCACCCGTTTGAGAATTAATTGTAAATTTATTTGCAGCGACACCAACAGGAATCATAAAAGACAGTTTACCATTTTCACCTGAAATAACGTATTTACTTAGATTTATTTGAATATTTAAATTTTTACAGTGACAATAGTTTATATATAAAATCACAGTTATGAAGTAGAGATTAAATCAATATATTCAAAGTAAAGAAATTAGACATAATTTTCAAATAAGATTTTTGTGGGGTTGCTATGCTTTAGCTTTTCTTTCTTTATTTTTCTTATCAAAACTAATCTTACCTAGATCTATGTCTGTAGCTTCAACCTTCAAAACAAAAGTCCCTTTTGGTGCAGCTTCAGAGACATTTGCCCGATATAGATGTTGCTTGAAATGTGGGGGATTATCGTTTACATCTTCGACATATATGTGGAGAACTTGGAAACTCGATCTAGGTGGTCTTCCATGATCACTAGCAGTAATGTTTAATTCATAATGGTGTATTTCTTCACGATCCAAAGGCTTAGCCACTGATAACAAACCTAAAAATGTTTCCAATAAAAAAGTACAAAAATTTCAATTTGGAGTTTTCCTTGAATACTGATGTTCAGTTAAAAAATAATCACATTTCATAGGTATTAATATATTAAAGTATTACTCGTAAAAGTTTAAAATTATTGATATTAAACCATAATAAAGGAACAGATGTATGGGAAAATATGTTGTAAAATTTATATTTTATGAAATTATCTCACTGAAATAATTTCATATCATATACTCAATATTGACAAAATTATATTAAAACCGGTCTGAATTATTTTCTATTTCCACTTCGCCAGATTTTTGATTCAGGTTATTTTATTTATAATTCATATTTTCATACAATCATTTATGAGAATTTAGAAAAAAGAATTATCCTTAATATATATTCGCAAAGGAACTAGAAAAGTAGTATATTTTAATCCATATTACAATCTCAAGTGGCAGTCGAATACAATTAATACCAGGGAAGATATGAAATTTTTACATTTTAAATTTATGAATTATGAACATGGGGGGAAAAGCATACCTGAATCATAGTCCAAAGAATAATGGCCTCTTTCATTTCCTTGAGATATAACATAAGTTACTCTTCCATTGTCTCTTGAATCTTTATCAATTGCAATAACATGAAGAACAGGGTAATTTACAGGTTCACTTTCCATGATATTTATTTTACTTCTTGTTTTAAAAGTCGGGCTATTATCATTTATATCTTCAATTATGATTTTGCAAGTTACGCTTGTTGCTAAGCGCTGTTTTAAATCTTTGGCCTGATCAGATGCAGTAACTACTATTGTGTATTCTTGAAATTCTTCATAATCTAAGGCTTCCAGAAGAGTAAGAACTCCTGTTTTTTGATCAATTTTAAATACAGAAGCAGGAGATTGCTGTGAAACAAAGTAGGTTACTTGGCCATTTACTCCACTGTCTAAATCCGTAGCACTAAAATTCCATACAAGGGTACCCTGAGGCGTACTTTCTGGAATAGAAAACAGTATTGGATCATTCTTGAAAACAGGAGCGCAGTCATTTACGTCTTCAACTTCTATCTTAACACTAATAACACTACTGTGAGGATTTACTGCACTGTTATCTACTGCTTTAATTTGAAGATGATATTCCGATGCTTTTTCGTAGTCTACTTCTGCTATTGTGTACAGACTGCCCGTGCTACGAACAATATCGAAAATCCCGTAAAGGTTTCCGCCAACAATTGAGTACATAACTCGACCATTTTCACCGCCATCTTCGTCAACTGCTTGAACAATGCCAATTTCTTGACCGACACCAATACCTTCTTTTACTTTAAAAGATAAACTAGAGGAAGGAAATATTGGTTGGTTATCATTTAAGTCTAATACTTGAATTTGAAGCTTCAATTCACTTTGACGAGAGGGGGTGCCTTGGTCACGGGCAAGCACAGTCAAGGTGTACAGCTTTTTATCTTCATGGTCAAGTAATTTTCTGGTTCTTATGATACCGGTATTCATGTCTATGCTGAAAACATCTGCTCCATCTGTGTTATCTTTACCTAGAGGAAGAAAATTTGGAAAAATATTGTAAATGTTAATGGAATGAAATGAATTTAAAAAATATTAAAATGAATTATTTCAAAAGAATAAGTAAAAAAATACCTCTAAATTTTAATAATTGACTTTGAAATTTCATTTCAAGTTATCAACTGAAATTTCAGTCATTTATACAAGTAAATAAAATAAACATTTTGGGTAGGATTTTTACTAACATGTCAAACCAAGATTCTAACCAGCGCTTAAAATTGAAGCGCAATGAATGTATATAATAATGTAAAAATGGCAGAAGGAAGTAATTTTTAAAAGTCTGGATTTATATGAGTATAAAATATGTAAACAATATCTTTATAGCATTAGAAAAATTTGCGAAGTTTAAAAATATTACTCTGAATAATTAAATAAAAAACTGCGGCAGTTCAAATTAGAAATTAAAAATGTATTGCCTAGGATGTAACAGAGTATTACATAGGATGACAGTGACAATAAAGGAAAGGACAACAAGCACAATAAAAATTACAGTTAAAAGACACAATAAATTAATCCTCAAATTATAATATGTAATGTAAACGAAGAACTTACCAAAAAAAAAAAAAAAAAAAGGCTCGCAGATACTCTATGAACACAATTTGGATATAGGAGACTCTGTGTTGGATGTAAAATTTTCAATGAGAGCAAAATTTGATAACAATTGGGTGCTGGAGGTAGACCCCGAATCTTTCAAGCTTATGGAAGAATCAACGTGCAAATCTAAGATAGACAAGGGATACGGTAGGATAATTCCTTATAAGGACTCAGTGTCAAAAATGCTTTAACTACGGGCATACTAAAAAAATACTGCAATACCCAGCAAAGATGCTCTAGATGCGGAAACCTGGGACATATCAGAGTAGATTTTACATCTGTGGTATCTTGTTGTATCAATTGTAAACAAGCAAATCAAAAGTATAAATTTAATCTCAGTATTATTCATGATGCTAAAGCTAAATCGCGTAGTTGTCTAAAAAGAGAATTATAACTACACAAAAGAAAAATAAATTATGGATAAATTACGTATTATTCACTTAAATGTACAGCACTGCAAGAGTGCGACCCTATAATTTAGTGCGATTTTAGATTTAGAAAAATCCCTGTCTTGGCTTACATTCAAGAACCATTTATATATAAAGGGAAACTTACAGGTTTTCCTTCAAATATGGACGGTACGGCAAAGGCTCTAACCCAAAAGCCGGCGAACATAGTATCCAATTTCGGTCTCTCAATCTTGGAGATCTATTATACAGAGTGCAATGCAGCAGTTCTAATTGTAGGACCCGATTCATTTCTAGTTTGCTTCGTCTATTGCCCATCATCTTTGCCTTTAGATGATATGCAAAGTATACATAGTCACATACAAAGTCTTTCACGGAAGTTTGATAAGACTTTAATTATCGCTGCAGGTGACTTTAACGCCAAACATCCTCTCTGGGGCCCTTCCAACGCAAACCTCAGATGGATTCAAGTATGTGATTTTGTAGCTGCCTCAGGTTTTACTTTGTGCAATGACATCAACAGCCCAGCCACATGCATATAGCCAGTCGAGGAGAGTCAAGGATAGATTTCACTATGGTAAAACTCCATGGGATTTATGTATCAATAACTGGAAGGTGTAAGATAATATCAGTCTAAGTGAGCAAGAGAATGAAACTGTATCGGGCCGATCGGACATCTTTAAGGGAAAGTTTATTTACTAACTTCCAATATACTGTAGATTTACTTACAGGAAATCAAATAGAAAAGTTAATTACACAGACTACAGAAGAACTATATAATCTATATAATAATATAAAAATTACAAATAAAATTTCCAAAATCTTTGCTAAGTCACATCTCTGGTGGACAAAAGAATTAACCATTTGAAGGAAAATGTTAAGGGCGTTGAGATGAAGATATAACAGTGAGACCTGGAACGAGCTGGAGAGAAATAGACAACGGACTATTTACAGAAAAGAAGCGCTTTATAAGCGTAATATTCATAAAGCCAAGGTTAATTCTTGAAATAACTTTTGGGTTAATCTTTCTCCCAAGTCGCCGTTTGGCACTTACTACAGCTTGGCAAAAGGGAAAAGCATCTCTCCTTTGCAACTTTATCAAATAAAGAAATAAGATGGTTCATTTACAATGAACGTTCAAGAAAGAGTGGAATACATTATTTCTTATCACTCTCCACAAAACGATACATTGGCAGATTCTGCAGAATATGCTTCGATAAGAGAAAAAACTATGTCTACTATTAGAACTCAAAATGATCTCTACTTTACACGTAATGAGATTAAAAATATTTTTAAAATGGCAAATAAAAGAGCCCCAGGTATCGATGGAATTGCTTTAGAATTAGTTGAAGAACTTCATCTGGAAAGTAGCCAGCTTTTCTTGCATATCATGAACTCTTGCCTTAGCTTTAGCCTTAGCTCTTTAGCTGTTTTCTTGAGTCATGGAAAGTCGCTAATTTAGTGCTGTTTCCCCAAAAAGGAAAAGATAAATCAGATTTTAGTGCCCAATGACTAATATTCCTTCCTTCTACGTGGGGGGGGGGGGAGTTTTAGATAAACTACTAGCACAAAGACTCGCACGCTTTCTCTAAATGAACGATCATATCAGCACTAATTTGTATTTACGACGAATAACGGAACAGTGGATGCATTGGAAAGTCTTATAACCATCATAAAAGATAAATATACTCGAAACTGGCACACTTGTGTAATTTCTGTCGATGTGATGCCCGCCTTTAATAATCTTTGGTGGCCGAGTCTACTCGCCACACTCTAAGAACTTGTTGGTGAATCTTAATTCTTCAGCAAATCTCTACAAATTACTGAAGAATTATCTTCATAATAGAAAAGTCATTTACAAAAAAGACGGTGTCAATATTTACAAAAATTGTAACAAAGGCGCACCTCAAGGATCTAATTTTAAGGAACATTGTTGCTAATACTACATTAAAGTTAGACTTAGGAAATGATGTCACTCTTCAAGCATATGACGATGAATGACGCAGAGATGGGGGCTCAGAGGGAAAATATGGAAAGAAATGTATTAAAGAGGAATTGAAAATTTAATATTATACGGTTGCCCTGGATGGTGGCATTATAGCGGCACGATAACAGAAACAAATAAGTAGCTACAAATTCAACAAATAGTATCACTACATATAACTAAAACGTTTTGTATTACACCAACAAGTGCTCTTCAAGTTCTTGTTGGAGCGCTTCCACTAGATATTGAAGAAGAACAGGAATAAAAGTTATTCGGTCTCTTTAATTTTTAAGAGGACTGTATTTAATTAAGAGGACTGCATTGTAGATGAATTAAATATACCAAGTTCTGCAGTGGAAGAAGTCCCAAAATTGAGCAATCACCCAGCTCAATCCACACAAATCATATGGCATATGAATGTTTCCAAAGAAAAGGGAATAGAAATTTTTACCAACGGGATCAAAGATCCAAGGCAAAGTTCGAGCTGCATTTATAGCTTACGAAGATAAACAAGTTATGATATGTAAAAAATTCAGACTAAATGATTCAAGCACAGTTTACCAGCCGGAAGCAATAGCTTTCAAGGAAGTCTTTTTATGGCTAAATGTCTTTCTCAAAAGTAATAAATCACACTAAGCATTTATACAAATAGCTAAAGTGTTTAAAGGCGTTATGTTCCACGAAAAAAACCATGCTTACTTATTCAAACTCTTCAAGAAACAATAAATATGGAAATTAGTATTCGTCCTATTAAATTGGATACAGGGACAAAGAGGTATAACAGAGAATGAAGCTGCTGTTGCAGCAGCTAAGGAAGGCCACATTAAAAGATATGATTGATATCCATATCCCTGTTTCAAAACTTACAATTATGAATAAAATTTCTAAGCAAGTTTTAATAAAATGGAAAAGAAGTTGGAACGAAGCAGATACAGGAAGATTAACTTACGAATACATCCTACAAGTATTCCTATAAAGAATAAAAAGGAATTTTCTGCTAGTACAATTAGCAATTAGCAATAATTCTGGAAAGTTTCTATCTTATTTCCAGTGATTCTTAAGAAGAAATGTAAAACGTGGATGTGGAACACCAGAACATCTAGTAGGTGTTAAATATTACACATTACAACGTACATTACTTTAGAGCAAAGGATTTACCAGGATTTGCAACAAAAATTCCAGCGAAAGATTTATTCTACTGTACAAAGTGTATCTGCACTTCAACAAATTATTAAAAACGAAGGCACCGCGATTATAAATAATTATTCATATTACATGAGCGAATTAGTTTTGCGTGTATTTAAGAGCAAGTAAAGATTATAACATGTCCTGTCCACATTATAAAGAGCACGAGAACAAGAGAAAATTATATCAAGTCTTCTTTCCACCTCTATATGTTGTACATGTTTTCCTTCCTTACTCTAATATTTTATATGTTTGACAAAGTACCAGTGGGTTCCGTTGACAAAGTTGATCAAATTTCCAGTCGAGCACTGTTAATCAATGTTTATGATCTCGGTCTTATGGCTGCATATGCCGAGCGGAAAGCTGATCAATTGTTTCGGCAATTTCGGTGCAGGATTTAAATTTTCTTTCCGCGGTGTTCTTCATTGAACGGAGTGGGAGTTCAAAATATAGACAGATAAGATAGGATGTAACAAAATTAATGGTCTTAACTCTAAAAGGTAATGGCACATTGCAAAAATAACAATTTTCTTAATACAGTGTATGGCGGAGTGTGAAATGTGAACGTGGAAATACAGTAAGTACAAAGAACATGCAGAATGAAAAGTCGTTTTAAATCATGACCAATATTTATAAGAATAAATATTTGCTATTTACAAGAGTCGTTCATGTGAACAATCACCAACTGCAATTACATGCATCACAACGATGACGAAATGCGTACACTTTGGAAGATGCCCAGCATGTCATGTACTTCTGTAGCAGTGACGCTAATTCTGGTGGCAAGGTTTACGGGAAAGTC